AATAATTTCAGAAGATTGCAACGTAAAATCTCAGCTGATGTTATTTATACGGCAGATACTGTTGGTTCTGCACGGATTGTTTATGATGAAAAAGCAATGAAATTACAGGCAAAAAAATTTATCATATACATATACATATAATTTAAAATCTACGGAAGGCATTAAACCCGGGTGGGCATCTATTGAACTGCGCTCTGAGAAAATGTACACTATAATGCGTATTTTCGTTTGGAAAAGTGGAGGGGTGTAGTGGTGGAGGGATCTGTGATGTGCCGCTACCGGTGGGACCGCCTGCGTCATGTCGACCGATCATGGCCTATATTCCCCTACGGCACTTTCACTTTTCACGACTCACTCCGACACAGCAAGATCACGGATTTACTGCTCTCAGGACCCGATCCCTCACCGGTTTCATTCCTCCCACCAGTCCCTTTTCCCCTCCTTTCCCTTTTCCCCTTTCATTTTTCCTCCTCCACGTGTTACCGTCCACAATTACATTAATATATGTTGCTATTATTTGCTTTACTATTCCTTGGTACTTCCGCCCTTTTCCTTTCATGATCTGTGCTACTGTGGCTTTAAAATTTGCGAACACCTACCTTTATCTGAAGTTACTCTTTGTATTATCCTTTTAAACTTTTCGAAGATAGTTCGTTTCATAAATCCTGGACTACTGTTTTCTTTTTAAATTTGGTAGGAAGGCAATAAAGAAAGAAAACAATCATTGCTTATGGTTTAATCTACAAGTCTTTGCAGCCACTTTCGTTTTCACCGGAAATTCATTCGTTGACATAGGAATTTTTATCATAAAAGCTGTGAGGAAAATTGTCCTCATTTGCTCTTTGTCGTTCAAGGCAGCCAATTATAAACTTATTCATAGTAAAAGGAAAGAGTATATGATTACAGAAAGTTACGTTCTTCGATTTTCAACGAAAACGAAGTGTAGTAAATTTGCTCAAGAATGCATCAACTAAAGGTACCAAATTTCTTCCATACCTTACATATGCAACATTTCATTTCATTTCACCGAGTAGGATGATTACATGCTAAGGTAAATGAGGCACATCACCCTAGGACCAGTCTTCTGTTATGAGGCAATTGACCGATGGCATTGCCACTGGCACTGCTGGCCATTTCTCTCTGTGTTCACCGAGTCAGCATCCCCTAACTACAAGAAACGAGTTTTCACCATGGAAATGAAAATTATGAGCAGAAAATAAATTTAACTGATGATTAAAAAAAGGAATGTTGTAGTGTGTGGTAGAACTGCAGCACTGTAGAAAACTGCATCTCGATCAGGCTTTCCTCTCTAATGGGTAGCTATGGACATTATGTGCCAAGTGTATAATAAGTGAGATTGGCTATCTAGCAATCCACCAATTTCAAAATTCGGCATTCATGAGCTGTGTTCCAATATTTGTTCTTGAAGCGAAAAGCTCTTCGGTTTACTTATTTGACGAGTAAACTGAAATTTGTTTCAATTATTCTGTAGCTCATTTGTTCAACTTCATAGTTCAATCACTTGGTTATATCCTACTTCTAGTAAGCATTTTACAAATTACTGAAACTTGCGTAATATCAATAAGATTTCGAGAACCAAATTCCATCACACTTATCTGCTTCTGGATGATTGGTAGTATTTACAACTGTTGTGCTTGATATAATTATGTGTTCAAGAATAATGTTATCATCTAGTCTATTTTCAATAAATCAAGGAGTACTTAAATGCACTAGTAACATGTACCAAAACACTGCTTATTATACAAATGGTACACTGATATATGAACAACTATATATTTAAGAAGTACTAAGTTAGGAAAAAATTACTGAGTTCTTACAATACAGGAATCTCTTACTGATAAAGCCAAAAATTGATAGACTCTGCATTTGAATTTCATATAGAAACATTGTTTCAACTTGACCCTTGTAATTATGTGGGTCCCTATAGTTCTGATGAAGACTTTTAATGTTGTCGAAAAATGAACAACCTTCGGAAAGTCCATCCGTAAATATATTACTGTTCTACATTACTATGTTGGGGATTATTTTCAGTGTTATACCAATAAATACTCAATCATCTCTTTTAGTATCACTAGAAAAGACTACCAGTGCAGTTATTTGGTAGCTGTCGTTTGTTACTAAAAACAGTTTCCACAAGTCCACCGTTAGCATAGCCGAATAGAGTTGTAGCAACTAGTGACCGACCAAGTTTAAGTGTGAAAATATAAGCAGACCAGGAAATGCAAACAAATGGAAGTCAAACACTGTTTGCTGCGAGTAACAATGATTACCTACTGTTGCTGACCAGTGCATTGGTCACCTCAGACGAACAACTCAACATCGTCCCCATTCCATTATAATAGTTTACCTTTTTCATTTTCTCACTCCTTACTGCTGTCTTACTTTTCATACTTTATCTATTTGATAAGCGGAAACTATCCTAAATGTACTGAGAGACATGACTGGTCTATATTCAATGAAGTGTTTTTTGTTTCAAGAAAGAAAAAAAGAAACCGTTATTTGTACACACAAAGAATAAGTTGTTTTGACATTTATTGCTATATTGAACAATTATTTTATTTTAGGAGGAAATTTGTTCAATTGTTTTAATTTTATCTTAAGTTAATCAATCTGTTTATTCATTTTTTTTATACTTTTAAAAATTGTTTATTATCATTTTTATGAAAGAAGCTTGATCATATAAGGTACATTTTTTTAAAAAACATTTTAGAAAAATATCATTGGTTTTTTTGAATATTGTTTTAATATAAGCGGATTTATATAGATCACTTTGAGACAGCATTTTCAATTTCACTCTGACCATTCATATTCTTCCCAAATTTTTTGCGATGATTTTAAATGTCATATAACCATACAGATGCCACCAAAATCTTAGTCTCACCAAATATATATATATATATATATATATATATATAACGCTTCATGTTCTAATCTTACATAAAAATCTGTCGCGACATCTAACTCTCGTTTTAAATAGCGAAGGTTAAGCGAGGTGTGTGAGAAATTATGTTTCAAAAGTTTTGAGCAAGCCGGAAAGATATTTCGTTTTTTTTACTAGCTTATTTATTTTATCAGGTATACTTAATCTAACACAAAATAAGAACTTTTTCTAAGAATGGCATGAACTGTGCTCTTGTCATGAATGTAATTTAGTGTTATGTTTCAACAAAAAGTTTTACCTATAAATAAATTCTTAGAAAAGTTAGTTGATTAGAAAAGCAAGAATTTATCCAGAAAAGCAGACGAATAAGCTTCTAGTTACAATTCGTAAATGCTTAAATATCATTGCAGAATTTGCATGCTTTCAGGATTTTGGGTAATTGGCCTTTTCGTAAAATTTGCAACAGAGGAAGTTAATTTTTGAACTGTATAGAGAACAAGCTGCAGGTTCAAATTATGGATAACTGCAAAATATAAGAAATTTCAAATTGTTTCGTAACTAAGCCTCTGTAAATTCAGCTCGGTTGAATATTCCGATTAAACTATTAAAAGCTGCTACTTAATAAATTAATCATTCTGTGTGTGCATTGAATTTCGAAGTTCACAACTAGAAGGATATAAAAATATTTTACACAGTTATTAATTCTATTATTTATTTACTGTCGACAACATTTATGTGTATGATCGAGCATATTAGCGGAAGTTATGGATACATTGAATACGACGGTGATCGGTGCTCACGCCACATTGTCGTTAAGTTCGTATCATCGATGGAATACGCTCAGCCCATCGTTGATGTTAGAAAATGATGATGACAGCAATGAGGTATTTGTATTTGTATCTTTCAATGCAGTTAAAAATTAATTTTAATTGAGCTTGCTGCCCTTCGTCTTAATTTTTTCTATGGAAAAAATCTTTTTTCCCACCAAGTAACGGCCTTGTTTAAAGTGAATGTTTAAGCCTTGTTTAAACCGTGAATCCATGAGCAAAATTTATAAGGAAGATGATCGGCAACTTTAGCTCTTTTGCTTGACATTAGCGGCAGTGCCGTAAAATACACTTTTCGGTTGTACTGTCTTGAATTGATCGATCAGATGAAGGTGTGTGGTCCAATGAAGATCGAACATCCATTTGAGAGCGATGATCAGGCCTACTTCTCTAGTAACTCTACTGGTACCACTTCTACTCAACAACTACAACGTCGTCAGCCATCAGGATCATCAACAACGATTCCGACAATACCATTAGCATCTTGCGCCACTGCTGCAGCATCCCTATCATCTGCATTCAACAGACGGCTAGTATCATCAAACAGAACTGTAAGCTTTCGAAAAAATTTTGTTAACCACCTTAATCTGCGTAAACATTTATAGATATGGAACTACTCATCAGTTTTATAATATATGCAGCATAAGTTGTAATGTTGTAAGTCAGAATTTGGAACCATCGTTACCGCAGTACAACTTTCTCTTCTGTATTATTTTCGCTTGATATTTCATATTTTTGCTTATAAGTTTTCTACATAGTAAGCACAAATATTGCTTCTTTACTTCTAACCTATTTATGTGTTATAAAAATTACGTAAGAAAACTTCTCACAGCCACGTTCCGTTGAAAACTATTCATGCATCTTTTTATCAATCTCACTAATCATAGTACACAATTCCCATCTACACGAAAATCTTTGATTTCTATCTTCAGGTGTAATTTTTTTAAAACTAATAACTTATTCCGTAAATAACACGATATTCGCACATTGCCGACCGTACCATAATGTTGAAAAAGTCATTTTTCTATGAGTGCTTGGAAATATAGTATTTGGCGCAAAAATTAGCGATGCAAGTGCATCTTGATCATTCACGCTTACATACAACTATACCTGAAACTTTTCCACTGCATCGTTCAACCGGTTTTTGTTCCTAGTAACATCTCAAACAGTGGTAAAACATTGCAAAGTACAATTTTCAAAGTATTCTTTTTCCTTATTGCATGTCATCAACTTTCTCTCCGACAAATCGTTCATATTATAAGTAATAGACAGATAAACATTAAAGAGCATGCTTATAATTTCAATATACGCCATGTTTTTCCAATAATTTTATTTTGCTACCTTTTTTAATTTTAAACGACACAACATTTGCTCAGTGCTATTCGTAAAATATATTGCGAAAATATATTTTTTATGTGCTTGAATATTACCGGTTTTACTATTCAATACAAATATCTCCTTGTCTTACTTTTGCCTTTCACATAACAAAAAATTAATTTTTTTAACGAATTACTTGGCGTTTGAACACAGTTCATATTTAAATGACTCAAACAATTATCAAATTACGTCGTCATCATCATTATCAGCAGCAACAACTACTACTACAACAGCAGCAGCAGCAGCAGGAGCAGCAGCAGCATGATGCAATCATGACGGCGTACGAAGCGCAGTTGACCAGTGAGAGCGGTTCATCCAAGCGAACTCTCGAGGTGAACAAATACGGACTGTTTGTTGTGTTACTAGTGCATGTCTCGTTTATGTCCATTAACTACTTTAAGTACAGAGCAAATATTTCTGTGTAATTTTCGTCTCATCTTTGACAGTTATTTTGCTAACTTTGCTTCCAAGTTGAATATCATCTATAAAAAAATAATCTAATTATAAAAGAAATGTCTGACATATTCCTCCGACATAGTTCATTCATAAAGTTAGTAGCGCGGTTCAATATCTGTTATCAATATTAATAAAATAATTTTATCACCAAATAAATTAATTACTTCCGTCTTTTTTTATTTTATTTGTCTGGATTCCTTTATCGAATTTAGCATCGATTTCTTTTGGTTAATCGTAAATTTAAATCTAATGCGGCTCTACAAATCAAATATCAATATTGGAGTTATTTTGCTTCTTAATCACTCCTTCTAAATTTCATTTCAGTCCGAAACAATGCATAATTGTGATTTCAGGACTTAATTTTTCCAATTCTAATATAAGATTGTTTACATAAAATTTTCTCTTTACATTTTCATATCTTGATCTTAGGCCTTATATTTATTTTTAATTGGATTTTTAGACAAATATAGTTTTTTATCTTTTGCACAACATTAAACACAGTATCTACTTCTCACAATTTCTAAACTCAGCTTTTAAACTTCAGATTTATCTCTAAATTAAGATTTATGAGTTTTTACGATCAGTTGAAAGATTCATGTTAGCGTTTGAATATCTACAGCATGATTTCTGGACATTTGGTTTTTAATTCGGTAATGGTCATAACAAAATTAACTAATGAACGAATTACTCTGTTGGTACGATGCCCTTTATGGCTAGTGTGGAGTAAAATAAACTTTGACGCGGTTAAGAACATTTAATAGTGATATAGCAATTCACTTCAGTTAATTTCATGCTCATTTCAAAAAAACCGCACTATCGTGCAAGCCTGCCAGTACGCGACATTTTGTTTACATTTGTTTTGAATAATGAAAATTGTATGGACCGCCGTTGCTACCCACTTCTTCTTTTTCTTCCACCTCCCCCTTCTTCCCCGCCGTCTTCTACTCCAACTCTTTTCGTGTGATAAAATCATTTGGCGGAACGTTTCCTTAAAGGTCACCGAAAACATTTTTGTCCTATTATGCATTTTTTGATTATTGCGTGTATGATTCTGGAATTTGAATTTTTAAGAATTTCAAAGATAATTTGGAAATATGAAATTACAGGTGCTGCTAAATAACGAGCGACAGTTTCATCGAGGGCTAACGAACAATTCGATCTCCATTTCTTTGATTAAAGCTGATCGAAATTCGCAATCAGGTTATAAGAATTAGTTTCTTTCTATTGTTTTATTGCTGTATATTTATGTTTTTAATTTGTGGAGTTCAAAGGTGAGAATTCAAATTGCTATTCGCCTGCGACGCAGCCTTCCACAACAGCGCCAGCAGGAGCAACAACAGCTGAATTGTCAGGAGATCGCAGAAATGACGAGATATCAGTACCAGCTAGTTCTGTAACGAACAATGCAAACGATGCTGCTCAAATGGATATTTATCGAGATTTGATACTACGACATCTCATTCAGGACATAAATACAACATGTACCAAACTTGGACTACCAACAGGTCACATTCTTTCCTATATTCCTTCCTTTCTTATATTGCCACAAAAGGTTTCCTAATAATTATCGCACGTGAAATCATTTAGCGCTAAAACTATTTGCTTTACGAATATTTTCCTCAGTGATTTATCTAATAGCAATTTGATACGTTGTATTATACGTCAGGACTGGAAAATTTTCGCACCCATAGCTATGCGTTGGCTATTCGATAAAAAGACTATTAATATATAAAAAAAAGTTACAACTTGGCTCATAACTCGTATGGCAGTAATCATTCGGATTACACAGAATTCTCCTGTTGACCTCGCAGCTTTTTGTATTCTTTTTGCAAAAAGAAAAATGAAGGATTGCAAATTGCACCATATACAGTCATTTATTAATTAGTTTTTTTTTTTCCAGGCGAAACTTCACCAATTTTCAAATATATATTTTACAGCAATTTTGACTTTATCTGTACTTCTATAATTCTATAATAGAGTTTTACAGTATAAGTAGCTCTAACAGCTGCATTCTTAATGATTAGAGGACTGCTGTTTATCGATGGCATTCGATAAGCAGCTGCTGTATAACATTGTTTACGGGTCAAACCCACTGCTCGAACACCTGACCAGGATTGCTAAGTACCTTTTTAGGAAATCTTCAAAGGTCGTGACTTGTTTTGGAGATATGAAATATGGGTACGATTGCGTGACTGTGGGTTGGACTCTCTCAGTGGGTAAACCAGAATCACCATAAATGGACAGATGTTGATTTACCTGTAATACCTCCTCATTTACCTATTCTCCATCTGCTCATTTTGTGTTGTTTTCATAATCAACTTCCCTCCTTAATTTCATAGGCGATTTTGATTTTACCACCTCACTTTTTCCAATTTTTTTATTTAGACTGTATTGAAACCAAATAGTACTATTTCCTACCTGCTTGCCATTTCCAACTTCAAAAACTGCTGCATAAATATGCGTTTTTAATCGCAAAAATTATGAGGATTTAGAATGTTGATAATAGAGCAAAACTCGTAACGTCCATAGTTGATCAACATGCTTTGATCAACTATGGATGTTACGACTTTAATCAACATGCTTATCTATTTCTTCGTACACATAAACACTAACTTCATTCAGGTAGGACATTGTCTACCTATCCATATTTCTACTTCCTTTCCCGTTTATTTTGCTGAATACCAGCAAATCAAATAATGAAAAACATAAATCTTACATGAATAAGTTTAATAGTGAACTTTCTCAATTTTGTTTGAATTCATCGGTTTCATCGCGGTAGTGAAGTGTGTAGACCGAATTTGATTGATTAACAATTTTTATGTGTCAAAATAGATTAAATATGGAATAACTATGGACAGTTGTGAAAGTGAAATCAGATACAAATTTCTTCCTTATGCTCTACTTTTGCAATTGCAATTAATTATTTATGCTTCAAAAATTTTGCTTCTTCTGGTCTTCTTCAAAAATGTTATAGAAGCATTTACTTCAAAGCTAAAGTCATTTAAAGTAGAAATTTTGTGTTATACTTAATTTTTGCGTTTGTCAAACACGAAAATTTGAAGACCCGCAAGCTTGGAGTGCCGAACATAGCGCCCGCTGGATGTCTGAAATGTGCGTGCAATTTCAACTTCCCCCCCCGCGACAATTATATATGAACGGGCGTACCTTGTTATCGATGACGCAGGAAGATTTTATGGTTCGAGCACCAGAAGGGGGTGATACGCTGCATGCACAATTACAATTATGGAAAACTGGTTAGCAAGACATCTGAAACTTTATGTAAATATTACTGTCACTTGAAATTTTTGCGCCTTTTTTTCTTTTTAGCATATGATTCATACAGCCAGCAAAATAGCAACAATCACAACAACAATAGTAATAATAATAATAATAATAGCGGCAACAATCAAGGCACCTCGCAAATAACCCAAAACTGCAGTCGTTCCTCACAATATTGGGTACATTTCTTATATTGTATTATTGATAAATTCATCTGAAAAAGTTTAAGTGAGCAGTTTTGATTTCAATCTTGAAAATTGCAAATCCATTTCACATTTGCGACAACACAACAACAACGGTTTGTTTGTTGTATACTTTTTTTTTCTTATAACCTTTTTTCTGCATAAAAAATGTAAATTGTTGAAGTTAAGTTTGTAATCAGATCAAATCATTTTTACGATTATCCCTTATTCTTCTAGTTAAAAATCATCCCATAATTATCAAAAAAAAGCGATTAAATGAATAGATGCTACCTTTCAACACATCTTTTCTACTCATAGAAAAATCTTGTGAATCACTCATAAGAATATTTCAAGGTGAATCCCTCTCCACTGGCGCTGAATGCAACAGAACAAGGAGAACTGCTAACATCAGCGCAAGATTATTTAAATAACTTCAATCCAAACAACACTGATGCGGCTGTTGGCATGAACTGTTATCCTAATAGTAAATGATTATAGCAACAATTTTCATTGTCAAAATTTAATTAATCTTTCTTTGCCCGCACCAAAACATTTCTGAATTTTTCTAATTTGGAAAATAAAAGCATTGGATTGCCAACATTCGGCTATATTTGTTGAAATGATTTATTTTATTGGCAGAATTTGCGTTTTTAAAACATTTCGATAATTTTTTATATTCTTTTTTATATTATTTAACAATATTTTATGAATTTTAGGTACATATCAAAATGTATCGCAAGAAGGAACTCTTCTTGGAAATGCTACCGTGCAACAACAATATTATGCATCAGCTCAGACCACTGGAATCGGAATTTTACCGAGTCCAAGCGATTCTGAAATATCTTCTAACGGCTCTTCAATGAATGATGGTAAAACCTAAAAAATGATTTTAGAAATCAACTAAATGAACAAAATTAACTATGAAATGGAAGAATCGAAACAACGCCATTGTAAAAAATGTTAATTAGAAGATGTATAATTCAAATTTCGTATATCTGATCTTAGATCTTCGGAAATTTAATCCATATAAATTGAAGTAAATACTATTGATGGGACTATCATTGATGCTCGACAAACGGGCACACCGCAATTTCCACGGCATTCTGGCACAGTGCATCTTTGGCACTTCATCCGAGAGTTGTTGGATCATCCGAAGCAATATAGCTCATGTGTTAGATGGGTTGATAGGCAGGAAGGTATTACTTTCAACTGTACAATTTTTTTAGCTTGTCTTAAATAAAGAAAATTGCAAATTTAAATCGAATCAGCGAAAAATGCGAAAAAAAGTAAGGTAGAAATGGAACAAATTCCCAATTTCAGGTACTTTCAAGATAGAATCATCACTTCACTTAGCTCGTTTTTGGGGTCAACGAAAAAATAGAGCCCAAATGAATTATGATAAATTGTCACGATCATTGCGACAGTATTACAAGAAAGGTATTATTCAAAAACCAGAGAAGAAGCAACGCCTTGTTTACAAGTTTCTTCCGCCATATAACTTGTAACTGAATTTTTCGTTGTTCGTGTTTTGTCTAAATACTGTCTCAACATGGACAGTAGTCAAGTAATGGTCGTTAGGCCGTCGACCTCTTTTGAGGTTTTTTATCAGTATCAGTGTCACGCAAAGTAAGCGGCAAGCAATATGTTTTATTTTCTAGTTCCATTATCTGCTTCTCGTTGGAACAAAAATTTTTATCAATCGTAGTTCCATTAATTAATAACAAATTCTGTTTCAAAAAGAACTGAAAATCACAAAAAAATTCGTACCATATAATTAATTGTTTTCCATTTTAACCTTTTTCAATTAGTCTTTTTCCTAATTGTAAAATTGAGCTCATTTTTATGTTTTATAAAAATTCATTTCACTTATTATTGTGGTCTTTCATGACAACAGCATTTCATTACAAGCAACTGTGCCTTTTTTATCGTTTAAAGTAAAATTCTTTTATATTTACATTATCAATAAGATATTTCATATTATTTACTCATTGCTTATTGCTAATGAAGTGCTTGTGTCTCTTAAATTATTCTCGTTATTTTTAAAAAAAAAAATGTATCGATTTCACTGATTACTCATTGGTTTCACAATTCGGTGCAGGTTTACTATATTATAAGACAAAAAGATGAAATAACTTGCTGTAACATCATCAAAAATAATCGATAACCAAAACGGTAAAATCGAATTATTTTCATATTTCTTAATCGTTTTTCTTTTTTTTGCTATTCTAAAAAGTATCTAGTGAAATTACTGAATAGATGACAAGCTTGAGAATGAACAAAAAAGGATGGAGAAAGGTACTCCATAAAAATTATTTATATATTTCCTTATAATAAACCATTAATTATGTGTTTTACCGATTACTCCCGAGCAATTGTTGTTAATTAAAGTAGAAATTCATTTCTAATTCGAGGTCTGACTTTCGAAGATATATTTATAGACAGTTCATTGGGTTTTGATGCATCTGTTCCGTAAAGCTTCTAACTTCCAAAACACCGGATACCGTTGGTGGAATTGGATGCGGGTGCAATTTTTCCTAAACATGAATTTTGTTTACTGAATTAGTTTTGAAATGTTTGGGAAGATGCTCAAATATGAAAAGATGAGAATCCTTCTACAAACTTCATGATGGAATATTACCTCCATGCAAATTTCTTTCAACGTAGATATTGACATATCGCTCAAAGTTTCCAACTTATGAATACGCAAATCTCTTCTTCCTGCAATTATATCTTCGTTTAAGATTTTATGTAAAAGAAATGCTGATATATCTTTGTCTATAAAAAGCATCTCTACAGTACATATGAAAAAGAAGCGGACTTGGTCTGGTTATGATGCTGATTGGATAATCAAATTGCTGGTTCGTGTCCATACTGGTAGCAAATTGCTGGTTCGTGTCCATCATACTGGAAACATATTGCTGGTTCGTGTTCATACTGATAGCATGTTGCTGGTTCATGTCCATACTGGTAGTATATTGCTTAGTGGTATTCGCTGATGCTGTTACTGCCGTTGCTTCTGATACGACATCTGAAAGCCAATATGTTTAAATCTTTTCCAGAAACATTTTTTTTTTTAACTTCCATGTTCAAATCATTACCTTTCACTAAAGCATTCTCTGTTGTCCTTTGAATTCTGCTTAATGAATCATTTTCAGTGGATATTGTTTTGAGGCTGTAATAATGAAGTATGCAGAAAAAAATATATATATGTGTGCAGATGTAATATTTGAAATTTAACTTCAATTTAATATTTCTGAAAAAATCATCATATAGAAGAATGATATGTATTGGAAGATTTTCGGCAACTTTATAATCTAAAACAATAGAAACCAAGAAAAGCTATACCTCTTTTTTTTATTACTTTCAATATCCCGTAGTTGAGCATCAAAGTACTTGCCTCCGTTGTCATTTTCGGCAGTTTGAATGAACTCATCTTTTAAAAAAATAGTATGTATGAGAGGTTTCTCGGTAGTTGTAGTATAAGGTCTACCACAGCTGTTGTAATAGACAAACAAGCAAAGCCATCCTGCAGCAATTATACTAGCCGCTATACCAATTACCACAGCTAGAATTTTAACTTAATATTTAAATTCGTAATTTTATAATGGAAAGATAGGAGTTTATTTTATTAAAATGATTATTCAAGTTTCACTATGATTAAAGCGATCGTTATTTATCAATTGAAAATCATTTCTTTTTGTCAAGATTTGCATCTCCTTTCCACAAAGTGTATGTATTGTTATTAGTTTCTCCAATCCTGTATGCATCTCTGAGAATTTCCACAAAAAAATATCATTTTTTTCATCAAAGTATATTTTCAATGAAAATGCCTTTATCATTTCTTTGTATTACATGCATTACAAACAAATTGATCTTAAAAAATATTCACTGTACTGCTGACTGTTGGAATTCCTTAGTTAAACTCTTTAAAAATTCATCTCTTACACTTACCAACAATCCACCACTGTGATTTCTCATTACCAATTGGTAATAATGCTGCAAAAAGGAATACATTTCCAGGAAATAAGTTTGTATGCTGAAGCAAATTGAAATTAATTCTATATTCTGTTTGACAGACGGAATTCGTTATCAAATTTTGGAAAATCAGAAAAAGGCATTTATGAGTTAGTGATTTTTTGACTGAATAATATATCTCTGGATCAGGAAATAGATCTATTTGCATGTGAGTTATAAAAATGTGAACTTTAAAAAACCAGAAATAATAGAGCGAAGAATGCCATGATACAAAAACAAACATCTAGACAAATATCTATGTTTTTGTATCATGATATTCTTCGTTTAATTATTTCTGGTTTTTTGGATCGGGAAAGAATGATCAAGATAAATTAGAAAAGTTGTAATCTGTACTTGTTATCGATTCAACAGGAATTTTTAGTCGTGCTGATATCCGAGAAAGAGATAAAAGCGATAAATCTGATACGACAATCTGTATTGAAAATGTCGTTATTTGAAGAATTATCATTTATACGAGAATAACACGATTATTAAGAAACATTTATGGTTATAATGAAGATTTAGTATTGCAGTTTTTTGTGATTAACAGAAATATTATTGTAATGGGAAAAAAAATTTCTCGCACTACAGTATACCTCAAGAATAATTAAAAAGCTCAATACAATTAATGAACAATTTTTTAAATAAAATTTATAACAAAGATATTTTTGAATGTGAAATTCTAGTGTCTATTCCTGATTTTCTCTTTCTCCCAGCTAACCTTGAAAAAATGTAAGACAAGTTATTGTGTCTGCGTAATTCCAATGATATTAAAAGTAGATGGGAGTTTAACCTCTGCAGGAATTGGCTCATCATTGTAAAGCACCGCAAATATTACCGTACATGTTCGAACAGAACACTGCGTTTCAAGTATCTGAAAGTTCAACATTATTTAAATTGTTTAACTGATCAATTTTGGATCATACTATTTATATAATTTGCTCTCTATGAACTGAAATGTTAATGAGTATCTAAAAATAGAAAAGTATAATTTGCATGCTCTTATCACTAGCTACAATGAATTTGATATGTTATACAGTCAGCTAATCAAATAAACTACTAAATAATTTCAATCCAAAGTATTTTTTATACACCTAACGTTCTCATCAAAGACCATTCAATTTATTCTACCTTACATTCTTTGGATTTCAAATTGGAATGATTATAAGTTGTGGAAATCACAACATTGTTTAGTTTCAAGTGAAAGTAAATTTTTTAATTATTCATTTCATGCTCTGATTCTCATAGCAAATAATGATTGTGAAGTTTACAGTCTTACTTACTTTCTTTTATCATTAATTATTTAATTATGTCAAAAGTCTATGAGCTTTAATCTTAACTAAAGTAATCTCTTATCCATCAAAAAATTATCTCTCTCCAATTTTAAAACATGCAATCATGTTGATCGTCTTGCTATGTTAACAATTTTGTGTCTTTTTGTATAACTTCGCTTAAAATATTTTCTGCTCAATTTGAAATAGCTTCTTAGATAAATGAAATATTAGAGTATCTCCATAACGAAGGAATGATTAATGATTAATAATGCTGTTTTCATATCTCATGTTATATTATCACTACTTCATTATCGTTTTGTATCGATATCAATAACATTAAAGTGGAAATTTCTAATAAGTTTTAGTTACGAGGTAACATCATCGGCTATTAAAATCTGTCAGAACAGGTCAAGGCTTCATATCCTCTTCGGGTCTATTCTATTATAGTTAGCTAGTCTTCCATCGATTTTCATTCCATTCATTGGTGCTTATTTGTCATGACGCTACTTTAATACGTTTCAGCCATTATTAAGTACACACAGACAACAGACACACATAACGCACACACAGACACATACAAACATGCACATACATACCTATACACAACCTAAGTCGACGTTATTAGGCTCCTTGCTTGACTAATAGTGTTATTAGCCAAGCAAGAAGCCCAATGATTCAACTTTTGAAAAATTCCAACTTCCGTATCTATGCCACTGTCAATTATGTTTAATTGCTTCAGTTTTTCAAACCGAGATGCATGCCTAATTAGAAGTAGTGAATCACCGACAAATGTTGAATAAAACTAACACGACGCTACTTTGATGAGCTATGAAAGCGTCAAATGATTCGTGCATCGGTTGTTCTGTTACATACATTACCTTCTTCTTTCATCATATAAACTTTAACTTTATCGAATTAATAACTTCTTACATTAACATTAATAAAGCATTAATAATTTCTTCAACTTACCGTTACATTATCTTTTTCTCTTGCATATATTATCTCTTTAGTGTGGCGATTATTTATAATTCTAAAACAATAGCACACCTGAACATTAACACTTTGATTGCCATCATCTTCAAGAATTGGCCTATGATGTAAATTAAGCGGTTGCTTGTAGTGCCTTGCCTGTTGCAATTCCATCGCTTCAATGATAATCTTTCGCCATCGTTTTTGTCCATCATTAATATTCTCCAATACATTTTTATCTTCTGTATTTAGTGCTGTAATTAGTAGGAAATAATAATCATAGCAATGAGAAATAATTCTTTGATAATGCTTTCATTGAAAATGAACAATAGGCATTTCTCTACTCTTACTGTTACCATTTCAATTGATTATGCTAGGACCAATAATATTTTTAAATGATCATTTTAGTTACGATAGTAATTTCTTCTAATAATACCGTTTGATATGAGTGGGAATTATGATTAATTATTATGGTGTGATATCAAGCTATTGCCTACTATTAGTCTAACCGTTTGTTAAGATATTGATGGGCTATTTTCAACTGATTACAACATATAAAAAATATTCAGATTTACTAGTGGCTATAATTTTGTACTGATCTTCATATTGATCATATAAGTGGCCGTGATCGCAGTAGTAGCATGGAGTTGTGATTGTTGACCATATCGCATTTCCTGAAAAAAGCAGAGCTTATTTAGAAGAAGGAAATAATAAACCACACCAATTAATTGAAAATATAAGAATAATAAATTTAATACCAGAATTACGTAAACATTTAGCATAGTATGTCGTAGTTATGTAATGAAATGATATTCATCACCGTTTACTTAAATAGGTTGAGAATATATTAATCAGCAAATCATTTCATTTATTCGATCTATCTGTTATAAATGTAAACTAAATCAAAAATGGATAAGGTAATAAGCTTATATTTCAAAAGTAATTCTTTCAAGGTAACATGCATTGTAGTTCCTATTTTGATTAAATAAATGTTTCTAGGCTTGTTCATTTGTCTGAAACAAAACTGAAATCTGTTCTAGACAGCCTTTGTAATGTATTTTCGATTCTTAAAGCGTTTGAAGTGAACTATACATCTCATTTTCCATATTCTTGTTCCTGTCATGTGCACTCACTCATAATTCATATCCAATACACCGGAAATTTCATAATACTATGAATTTTATTTAAATGACGTCCTTAATATCTTTATACATCAGCAAAAAATCATTATTTTTTCAGGGATCAATGAATCTTGAAAAGTACAAGAATTGTCATTTTTAAATTTTTGCATTTTTGTAGATAAGGAAGAATGTAAACATCGTACTATTATAAAATTAAATTTTTGGATAATTTACGAAATATTACTTATATCCTCTACAAAATGCAAATGTTTGAACCTCAAGTAGCTACAAGAAATCAAGGAAGGCATTAAATACTGATAAATGAAAAGAATCATAATAAATGAAAAGAAAGCTTGAATTTGATTTCCCTTTCATCTCTAATACCCTTCCTTGTGTAATTGTTATATTCTTGGATTATTTCGAAGTTATCGGAATTATTTCTTCTAATCATCAAAATACAAAATTAATTCTTGTAATATAAATAATAAACTGATATATATTTTCTCGGTTCAACTGTTAACTAATTTTCATTTTGATGAAAAAAATATATAATAAAAATTAGATGGTAATGAGAATGTCTAAAATCGAAATGTTAATGTTTGATTGAGAAGGAAGTTTCTCTTACTGATATTATACCTGAGGATTATCCTATGATAACTGAATTTTATTTTTACGTTATATTTTCAACATCTTCCATCTCTCTCGTTAAAAATGACTAAAAATGGTAATTTTCGTTGGAAAAAAGAGTTATAATTTGCTTTTTTTGCACCATTCGTTATTTTCTCATCAATTATTTCATTGCTTCCTTCGCCGGATAATTCATTTTGTTGCTTTTGCTGTTGGCTGACCACAACACATTTCGCAAGTGTAACATACCTTCTCTTCATTGAATGGTCATTGTGGAATAATATATGAATAACGATGACAATCATCGCTACTACAATCTTCATTACCCCTGTAATTCTATAATACATGTCTGTTTTTTGTTTGCAAAATTTCGAAATACGCGATTCCATCGTAGTTATCAATGTAATGCTCTTTATGATGAAATGATGATAGTGCAAATAGCTCAATCTTAACGCTGCTTTGTATTCCCAGAATGTATCATAGTTAGTTGTATGAGCTACAACATATTAATTAATTCATATTGACTAGCTTTATTAACTACATCTGTAACAACAAATGTTTCTCACGAAGCATTACACATATTTAATGCAAGCGAATCATATATTAGATACATACACGCCACATTGAATTTAGATTCCTTTGATTTTCTAATTCCTACAAAGTGATGAAATCTAGCAGTTACTACCGTGCTAACCGCTATTATCTGTCTGCACCATAAATTTAACTTGTTGATAGGTAAAAGCATTTTAACACAGCTTCTTACATTATCCGGATTCGGAAGAATACATTTATATCTAATGATATAAGCAAATTCATTTCGTTGCTATATTTAAAAGACTCATATTAGCTTGAAATTTCTATCTAAAAGATATGGTTCATGAAATGTTACGACAGCGACCAGAGTCCTTTAAATAAATTAAAGTTTTTAAAAGATGAGATCGCGATGATAAATGAGTAATAGACAAAGCAAGTAATAGAATGACTTATAAAATGAATTTTTAAAAAGATGGATGTCAAATGATTTCTTTGTTTTTTAATTATCAATAATAAAAATTGAGGAAAAAAAGGCGACAAAAAATATTTAAACATCACTTACGATTATTTTATATTTCGGAAGCAATTAGAGCGTTAAAGTATTGCAGAGTTAGAGGCTGCACAGCACGAACAAATTTTACTTCGGATTACCTGTTGCTGTTACATCTGACAAAAGTAATAGTCTGAATTAATTTACAAGTTAATAATACGAATGAATGAAAGGTGAATGAGAGATATTAAAGTTTAGTGTTCAACAAAGAAAGCCGTTTTGGTGAGGTTGTCATGGTAATTATGTGCAAGTGGCTTTTGAGTTCGACGAAACCTTGAAATCTTTGCCAATTGCCCAAACAGTGCACGTTTACTACGATTTGCTTTTTTCGTTACTGCAATACGTACGTACCACAAAAAAAATTTTCACTTTTCCTTTTTAATTTACGACACGTACAACTTCAATGTTTTTTTAGCCTGCACTTTTTCTTTACCAATTTATCACCAATATTATGACCTTATTGTCAAAATTTTTTGATTTTTCTGATATTCCTTCTTATCAGTTATGTTGATTCATATTATGCAATGATCTTCTTATGAATCGTGACGTTTGTTTAAATCTTTCTCGCGATCTGTTTGAACAAAACATGAAGATAAAATCGTGGATGAGTACTACAAATAAATATTGGCTTTTCCAGGATATCAATTGTTGCATTCTTCCATTTCTTTTTTCGTATTTTAATTTTTTAGTTTGTTCACTGTAAAGTAAAATGATTTATATATATATGAAGACAATTTGGTGTGACTGCGCTTCATAATTGGCACACTTCAAGAAGCGCCTGTTTCAACATTTAGTTGATCACTTCTCATTTCATTTCAACTGCTTAGGAGGGGGAAGTAAAACAAGAAATGATTATGTCGACATTAATTTCATATTCGCTAACATCAGTTCTTCATTTGGACTGAAACAAATTATTGAAATCTGATAGCCTCCTAATCTTCAGTACCTGATCAGGAAAAGAGTCATTCAACTTGAAATCATTCTTGAAATCAAGTATTTCCATCTCTTTCTCATTTTCTCCTCTTTATAACTATATATAGAAATCTAAACGGATGATTCTTATGGGATTTCTGATTGAGAAATGTTGAATGCGTCAGCAAAATTAAATGGATCTCAATATTTTTGGTCAACCACATTTAAGCAAATTTAGAGTGGTTCATTTTCAATCTTCTGTCTCTTTCTCTCTCTCTCTCCCTCTCTCTTGTATTTAAATAGTGAGAAGCCTTAAATTAAGGACGATCGAGTTGGACATGACAGAGTGCTTCTCTTTTCCCATGAAATCGTTACCTTGAGGACTATTCGGAATTGCGGATACTTCTTCCTAATCAAATAGAACATAGCATTACTCATTTCTTCCTCCTTCCATCCTTCAATTTTTACGCTTCTATAAATTGCGTATTTCTTGTAGGGAAAGAAAAACATACAAAATGTTCAAAATGTTGCTTTAACAAAACGACTATCGACTCTAACATACTGGTTAGAAGATAGGATTTTAGATAGGACGCAAAAAGATTATGTTTTCCTTTTCCCACAGGGAATGCGCTTAATGACAATATAAAATATTAAATTTTAATAGCAGCATTTTTCCAGCATTTAGTGATATCAAATTATTCAGTTTAAAATGTGGATGCATTGAAATTGTCAACGAAATTACCATAATCTCGAATTTCTTTGTTTCACTTACCTTAACTTTTTTCGCTTTTCAAGCTTACCCCCGGATTGATTATAAATAATGAAGGAAAGAGGTATAATTACAAGAACAGATAGTGTTAGTTTCAACTAAAACTAGTTAAATTTGCAGTTTCAGAAGGATAAACCTCTTTAATAATGGAAGACATCACCATAAGTTTCAATTCTGAGTTGAATGCTTGTCTAATTCAAGGAAAGTCCAACGATTTTAATCTTCTATTTTGATGGGTATCCCTTTATCCTTTATATTCATATTGTTGAAAGGTTAAGCTGGAAGTTCATTTATGATATGATATGTATTATATGGACGGATACATAAATCTCACATAACTGACGCTACATACTTGTCAGAGATAATAATTTTAAATCACATGTGGTAGCAATGTTAGTGTAAGAATAGTAATGAACATCTCCATGGTGATAATGATGAATATAATATCTCTAATGATGATATTGGCACACTGATAAGTTGTAAAGCTGTTGGATGTATTCAACTTGTAATTGAGAGCTGTTGCGTTTTAAATTTGAGGTTAAAACCGATAAAAACACGATAGTGAATTGAAAAGAAAGTATGGTGTAGTGTGGAATGATTGGATATATATCTCAAAATGAATGAATGGAAGAATGGGGAAAACAACGTGAAATGCGAAATGCAGTTTGGCTGCAGTGAATTATAGCGTGTTGTACAGAGTAGCTGCGCGTAGGATACGTTTGAAGAGGAGACGAAAAGAATTGAAACTGATGAGATATGACGAGGTGGTAAGTTAGTAGTAGAAAGAATAAGTTAATAGTCAATTGTAAAATATAAGAAGGGATCTGGAGAAATGAGAAGAGTACGACTTTCAACGGTAATAAAGTTAGCATATTCTGGATACTAAGTAAGAGTGAGCATTTAGTCGCAGAGGGTGAGCGTTTAGTCACAAATGTAGCAGAAGATAGCAGTAAGATAGCTAGCTAGCTAAGGAGGCAAAGGTGCTGCATTGCTTCCTACACTGAATGCAATGCAAGCTTTTCCTAGCTAAAATTTCATTTCCTAGTGTAAAGTTTTATCTAGTAAATTGTGCGTTATGCTCAAAAAAGCTTCCATTTTTATTAGATTTTTTACTCTATTCCAATATCATTTTAGAATTACTTTTCAAATCCTTTTTCAACTATACCGATCATTTTACTACAATATCTGTGAGGATATAATGTATATACTATGCTCTTTATTATTTTACTTTCTAGCTTTTGAATTAACAATGAATATAATAATGGTTTATATTAATATTGTTTTTGATTACATAACACATACAGGTGAGAATGGTTGTGAAGTTGAATGTCAACCTAATTTCAGTTATTAGTTACATTATCGTTCATTTCCATTTTACCTTTTCTCTGCAATATTTGAGCCTTTTATTCATCCAAAAGGACTAATGCACTTTTATCGCTGTAGCATATAATTCGTATTTGCATGATTAAATTATTTTTTTCGGAATCAAACATAATGGGATGTAAATATAAGGAAGAAATTATACTGTTCATTGCTTTATCAGTTAAGTAGAAAATTTAAAAAAGAAAACAAAATCATTGACATTAAAAAATTAAAATCATCCACGTGATGTATAAAATGTATGTTTCGAATTTCTTACCTTTCTATTACTTTGCGATATTATTTAAGTTATTTAAAATTTGCCATGTCTTTTCTAAATCTTTCTGCATATTTTAGTTGGCTCTATTAAAAACAATTTCTTCGTCTTAAATGGATAATGGATAAGTTGTCAAGAAAAAATTATAATTAAATATTATTCATACTTCTCCTCATCAAGCGTATACTTTACAGCTCAACTTTTCTTTCCACAAACCCACCACTTCATTTGCATTCTTTCTTATCGTGCGATAAAGTCTAACTTTCGCATTTTTTTTCAATGAATGTCTTATCTTCCACTTTTTTTTCTCATTGTCTTCTTTATCCTAAACCAAAAATTATTATTGCCTATCTTTCTTTTAATATTTGTCAAATATCGCAAACGCAAACTTCTATGCATGCATACAATGAAGCTGCATGCAGTACAGCTTATGTATATAATTACATCATTTTGACTTTTTTTTGATATGAAACTAATTTAATTGTGATTAAATTATGTTGCTTCACCTCAATCATATATGTTTTCAAGTAATTATCATTTTGATCGTTATATCATCATATCCTGGATAATAGTGGAAGTTATTTTTCTTTGACTGGTCTTCATCCAAAGGATTTTTCAAGAGTCCCCCTATACAGCTATTATATTGAACTCAAGTAATAACATGATAGAAGCTGTTTTATTAGGTTCATGTGAAAATGATTGCATTTTCAAAAGTGCTTTAGAGCTTCTTCTCCGTGCAACCATCGAGCTACCGTTGCCGGTTTTTATTCAATTCACTTTCCATCGTTCGTCACATTCGATTGAGAAATGATTCTTTGTTGTTATGAATTGAGAGAAGACGACAATTCAAAACGGCAATTTTTTTCACTCTTCCCTCTTATAAGATACCCACTGATCGAACTTTTCAAACCCTTTGATTTTT